TCCTGCTGTGAGATAGGATTAGGAGGAAGGCAAAGTAGGCTCAAAAGTTAAAAAGATATAAATAAAACTTTATTAACAGTAACCAAGAAAAAAAAAGGATAATAAGAATCAGAATAAAACTTTTAGAACACTTCTCCTGCCCCTACAATCTTTTCTTTCTCACTCACAACACACAGAAATAATTCAGTCAGTTTATCACTTCTAGAATAGTTTTTCTTCAGTTTACTTAGGGAGAAGAGTCCCTCTAGTAAATTTATGGAGACTTTTCTACAAGAAAACAGTTCTCTCATAGCTTCTAATTTTCATGAGTAGCAGCTGCCCAGAAAAATTAAATCTGCAATTGTGAAGTCCCTCCCATTTTTCACAGCTTTCCCCACAGCTGTGTTTATGGGCCATGTTAAGTTATGGGATACTATTTTAAGGATGAGCTGTTCAAAAGCAAAGGTTGTCTTTATTTATTTCTGAGATCATCTTCATCTCTGAGAATGGAGGTCTTCTCACCCTGGGGGCACAGGGTCTTCATCACTCTCCTCTCTCTCTGTTCAAGCTTTTTATTAAATTTAACATTTGCCTGCTTTAACACAGGTTTGAACAATCCATCCCCCCATAATTCTTCAATGTGTTATGAGGAAAAAAAACTTGGATGGATCAATTAAATTTTTCTCTATAGCTTTACAAGAGGATTTCAGTCCTAAGATGAAGGCATCTCCTCGTCCCTCCCATCTGGGACTTGACTTCTTCTTCACTGACCTTGGTGTCTTTATGTTGCTTCTCTACATGCCTGCACTTTGTCCTTTTCTCTCACTCGAGGGCGGATTGAAGCACTGAAAGAGTTGATATCTTGCCCAGGGCTTGCAGACGCTCAGGTGGCCCCGGCCGGGCACAGCAGCTTGCGGTGGGAGCTGTGCGGGCTGGGCTGGGCTGGGGCGATGCCTGGGATCTCAGTGGCCAGGCCAGAGCTCAGCAGCCAGGCCAGAGCTCAGCAGCCAGGCCAGGGCTCAGCAGCCAGAGCTCAGCAGCCAGGCCAGGGCTCAGCAGCCAGAGCTCAGCAGCCAGAGCTCAGCAGCCAGAGCTCAGCAGCCAGGCCAGGGCTCAGCAGCCAGACCAGGGCTCAGCAGCCAGGGCTCAGCAGCCAGGCCAGGGCTCAGCAGCCAGAGCTCAGTGGCCAGGCCAGGGCTCAGCACCAGCCCAGAGCTCAGCAGCCAGGGCTCAGCAGCCAGGCCAGGGCTCAGCAGCCAGAGCTCAGTGGCCAGGCCAGGGCTCAGCACCAGCCCAGAGCTCAGCAGCCAGAGCTCAGCAGCCAGGCCAGGGCTCAGCAGCCAGGCCAGGGCTCAGCAGCCAGGCCAGGGCTCAGCAGCCAGGCCAGAGCTCAGCAGCCAGAGTTCAGCGGCCAGGCCAGGGCTCAGCACCAGCCCAGAGCTCAGCAGCCAGACCAGGGCTCAGCAGCCGGGCCAGAGCTCAGCAGCCAGCCCCTGGGTAGGGGGACCGATGGCTTCTCCTCCCCTGCCTGGTGGCTGTGGGTGAACCCCAATGGCAGCAGAATCTTGGCCAAGCCGGCCGGGCCCTGTCTGCTCCTGGGGCCTGTTGGAGCCCGGCTCAGCGGCGGGCAGGGCTCAGCAGCAGCAGCAGCAGCAGCCCGGAGTCAGCAGCCACGGCACAGCCCAGCCTTGGTCCTGCGGCCTCCCCTGCCCTGCCCTGCCCTGCCCTGCCCTGCCCGCCAGCCCATGGGCACAGCCTGCCCGGGCCGAGCCGGCCCAGCCGAGACAGCAGGGCCGGGTGGCTGAGTTATGTTATAGATGGATAATGAGATGATTTGGTCCCACAATTAAAAGATAACTATTGTGTGAACATTAGAAAAGCTTTAGTGATGTATAGTTATGTTATTGTGGTTTAGATGTCCTCTGTTCTCCCCACAGTTCCTTTCCCCCCTGTATTGCTGCCATCAGACAGCCGGGGCTGTCTAGGACAGGTACAAAGAAGGCTGCACATGTGTCCCTGGCATGGGGCAGTGGGGAATGGAAAAGCTCAGGGGGTTGCTCAGGGGGTGCAGCATGGCAACATCTGACCCCCAATCAAGTCACAAGAAAGCAATCTCCACTGATAAATGGCAAAGAAGAGCTGAGTGACAGACTCTGGGAGGGCTGGGCTGGCTGATGCAACCCCCAGGGGTATAAAAGACTGAGCATCCATCCTGAAGATGAACTGGCCATGTGGTATCCACAAGGGGCAGTTCCCAGCGCTGCAGCTTTTTCCTTTTATAGTCCTTTGTTGTATTTTTATTAAGGTTAAATAAGCCTTTTTAAATTTTCAAAGTGAGCAGTTGTTTCTCACAGTTACCTGCTCTCAGGCAGGAAAAGGCAAGGCTGAATTCCTGGGAATTTTCATTTTTAACATGGGAGTTCACAGAGGTGTATCAGCTTTCTCAGTGGTTTAACAGATTGTCAATTCTCAAAGGTAATCACTGATTGGTTTTTTTGTCAGACATGGAGGAAACTGCTAGCAGCTTCTCTTAGAACATCACTTCTGTGATGCAAAACCAGCACACCCTCTGGCATTGTTGGGATGGGACAGCCCTTGCTATTTTGTAGGCAAAAAAGGCTTGATTCTCCAATCTGTGTGATGGAGATGATAATGACTGGGGCATTGAGCATCGTGGTCTAATGGAATGAGTCCCTGCTGATGGCAGGGGGGTTGGATTATCTACAAGGTCCCTTTCAAATTGGGCCATTCTCTGATTCTATGATCCAGTCTCTGAGTGATGCAGGTGACACTTGCCCTGCAGACGTATCTTTCCAAGCCCATACCATGCTAAAGTTTCAACACTACTTTATAGTGTAAACTGCTGGGTAGCCCAAAGCCAAAAATATTGAAAACTTGGGAAATCAGCCAAATGCTTTGGAGTCTTTGAAACTGTTTGCTGCCAGATCCCCTTTGGGAAAGGACAAAGATGGCAAGGACAGCACTGATCTTTCCCACTGCAGCTGGTGTCCTCTGAAAGTGTGGTTTTATTGAAGCAAAGCCCTGAGCAGTAGAATCAGTGCATGTCCTTCCCTCCTGCTTTGGCATTTGTTTCTGTCCAGGCTCTTCTTTACAGTTCAGCTGGCACAGCTACCTGGTTACTCAATAAAACAGCTTGAGGAGCAGAGCTGGCTTTTTGAAAAGCACAAAATCTTTGCTATTTTTATCCCTGTAAATCCAAACTTCCTAAAGTGCTCTGAACCTCCAGGTGTAGAAGCTGCCACCATCCTGGCCACCTGCTGCTCTTAATTAGAGGCATGATATTTGTAGTAACAATCAGATCAAAATATTCTACTAAAAAAAAAAGTATTTATTTTCCTTGGAGGCCTCAAATAAATATTTGAGGTTTGCCTTACAAGGTGTCTGTGCTTTTCAAGTGCTATTGCACACTGCTGACAAGGCAAGCTCTAAACCCTGAGCATCCAAAAGGCATTTAAATCTCTGAATTGCACAGTGATCCCCAGTTTCAACATGAGTTTCCTGCTTACCCCATGGGGATTGCAGATGGAGAGCTTGACTCCAGGGAGTGTGCCAAAGGGATGAAGTGAAAAACAGCGCTGCAAAGTGAAGCTCAAGGCATGACATGCTTGGGGAAGGTGATCAAAACTAACCTGATAAGAGCCCAGTCAAGGGAAACTTTTCTGAGATTGTGATAATCTCACTGGTGGACAGTTCTCCTGAGAGCTTAACAAGTATTTTTCTCTCCATTGCACCCAATCATGCCCTCCCCTGTCACCTTGTCATAGTATTTTTATTGCTAGACATGCAACCTGGTCCTGTGAAAGGTGTCCCTGCCCATGGCAGGGGGGCTGGAACTAGATGAACTTTAAGGTCCTTTCCAATCCAAACCATTCTGAGATTCCATAAATCTGTGATTTATACCTCTCATTTCAGGGTGCATTACCAAGCAAACTAAGAGCCCAGCTCTTTGGTGTAGTATTTCAGCCATGGGAAAACTGTGTTGTGGCAGTTCAGACTTGTGTCTCTGGGAGAAAACAGCAGGGGAATCTGTGTAGAAGTAGGTTTTCCTGAAGCAGGACTTAATTAGCAAAAGGAAATGAGGAAACCAGCTGCTCCAGCTCTAGAGGGCAGCACAAAATAATAAATAAAAAGCTGAACTTGGGCAATTTGAAATCATCTTCTGCATGACAAAAGCACCCCTTTGCAGTGGGAATTCTTCCCACTGGATCCAGTATATTCAGCACTGTCTACTTACAGCCAAAAATTCAGCAGCTCATCTGAAAATGCCTTTATGGAGGCTTTTAGCCCTAATTCCTGCCTCATGCCATGAAAATCCATCAAGGGTGTTGTAGCCAACAATGGACCCCCCTCCTGCCAGCAGACTGCAATCACACTCTCATTAGTGGGATGACTGCAAAAAGAAAAGTTATTTTTTCCAGAACAGGTTTCCAGATTTTGGGGTTTATAGTTATCAGCCACGAATTTTAAATATTTAATCCGCAAGCACTGTTTCCTTAAAGATGCAGAGAGGGATTTTGGTGCAGGAGCCTACAACCCTCCAGGAATGCAACTTGCAGACACACCCAAAATAAACACACTGTCATGCCCCACGCACACAGCCAAACAATGGCATCGCCAATAAGTTACTTTTTCTCTGGAGAAAACCCACAGCCTGATCCTGACAGTTCCTCTGGCAAAAATCCCCCTGTCTCTCAATGCCTGCCCCAAGGAAGGGCTGCAGGATGTCACACAGTAGCTGACTCCGTCCCGAGCACAGCGGTGGCTAGGATCCAGCACGAGCCCGGGGAGGAGAGGAAGACAAGCAACATAATTTAAAGCAGACACTGTCCCAAATAAGGTTATTTCCCTGAAAATGCCTTCATTCTGAAGTTATGAGTGAACCTCTAGGTGTTCTGAATGGGTGAACATGAACCCGAAGAATAATTGCATCGATACTGGGATTGAATCGATTTTGAAGAGCTGGACATGCTTTTTAAAGAGATGATAAGCAGTGTTTGGGGATGCAAGAAACCCTTGAAACAAGGTAAATGTGAAATAGTCACTCTTTTTACCCCTGAAGGCTCTAACTTAACAGGAAAGAGTTGTGTGGAAAAGGATCAGACCCTGGGGAGTGTGGTTTTTGTTCTGTGTGTTCTCTTGAATTTAACTTTCCTTGGCACAGGAGAGCATCTCCGTTAATTGTCTAAGCAATAACAAAAATTACGTTTGGGGAAATCTGGAAAGTGTTGCTTTTATTAAGCAAACAACATCTGTGAAGTAGTTTTAGGATTAATATTTTGATAGAGATGGAGGCAAACGTTGTTCTGAAGTGGAAACTGGGAATGAATTGTTATTATTCCATAGTTTGAAATGTGTATTGGGGCAAATTACTGGTCTTTGCCTTCTCTGCCTTTCCTACTTTTTAAGTGGGTATGCTGACATGGTTAGGGTATGCTTTTTCGAGAATTATTTGACTGACTTATTAATGCTCCTTGGGGATGATATTGACTTAAACCACCTTTATTTTTCAGCTGGGGTTGACACTGTATGATTTTGAAGTGCTGTGATGGAAAGCTGTGGATTTAAATAGGGTTCAGAGCTCAGTACTCTGAGTTATGCTGGGGTTTCTATCACAGCTTCCAGTGGGAGAAAACTGGCACTGATCATGAAGCTACTTCAACTCTGGGAAAGCCTCAAAGCAATTAAAGCTCCTTTAAGTTGACTTGTTGCTGCTGCTGCTCCCAAACTGTTTTTGTAAGCTGTGGGTGGAGAGATCAATGTCAACAGGAAGGGTTTAGTGTCAGTAGACGTCCTCTTGCACACCAAGGGAATGGGGGTCCTGTAACCCTGAGCTCGGCACTGGGAGAGCGTGGGGGAATGCTGAGACCTGCCCAGAGGGTAGAAAAGAGGGAGATGCACTGATGTGTCACACTAGAGGTTGCTGAGAAGGATCTAAAGGTTGTTCAGAGAAAAGCTACACAGGAAAAGCTCCTCCCCTGGACAGCTGAACTGAAAACTACCCTAGGAAGGGAATCTCCTTGAGCAAGGAGGTTGGGCTGTACATGACAGGTCAAGAGGAAGTAGCTTCAGGTTGTGCCAGGGGAGGTTCAGTTTGGATATTAGGAAAAATTTCTTCACCACAATGGTTGTTAAGCACTGGCACAGGCTGCCAGAGACCCCATCCTTGTAGGGATTTAACAGATGTGTGGATGTGGCACTTGGGAACATGTTGTAGTCGTGGCCTTGGCACTGCTGGGAGAGCAGTTGGAGTTGGTGGTCTTAGAGGGCTTTTCCAAACTAAATGGTTCTGTGAAGACAGAGTCTATGTTGCTTTGTGCTGGAAGAGGCCACCACATCCTTGATGAGCTTCAGTATGTGACAGTAAAAACACCTTGAGGGACAACTTCTTTGCTTATTACAGATTTGCCTTATACAGCAAACTATTACATCATTTTTTGTGTGTTCAAATACATAAATTTCCCAGCTGCTTTATAAACCTAAAATTTAAGAGGTTACAAAGTGTGTTAAGACTCTGGATTGTGTCAGGTTTATTATTTAAGAGGCAAAGAGACCTTTTTTTGCACTGATAGTGTGATAAGGGAAAACACTGCAGAGCACATGGGCCACATACTGTTCCTCAGGGTGGTGCCCTGTTGTGGCTAGTATCCTCAGCTTAATTCATTTTGTCTGAACAGAAAGGATTTCCTTTTGAGGGCTTGGAGAAAAGCCATGTAATCATTGGTGTGTTCATCTTCTATCACCACCTCAGCAAACCAATACTCAAATGATATAAATAGATTTCTCCTCCTTAAAGGAGGTTCCAGCTGCTCTAAGCATGGGGAAGGATGAACAGAGGGGGACAACAGAAACATTCTAGATGGTGATATTGGCAATTCCTCCTTCTCATCAGATGATTTCAGTATATTTTGCAAACATGGATTCAGTGGTAGAGAATTAACATCCTTGGTTTGGTTTTAACAGGGAGGAACACACTTCTGATCCCATTGCTGAGACCCGTTCTTTCACCTTGGGGTCACAGGTCACCACCCATCACTGGGGTTTTCTTGTGAAATGGAAGGAATACACAAACTGTACAGAGAGTAGCTGTGGTCTAATCCTTCCCAGGTTCTCTATTCCTAGTACACAGCTCTGTTCTCTGGTTCAGGAGGGTAGAAATGGGGAGATTCCCATCAGGAAGCTGTTGGCATTGCTGTTCAGTGGCTGTCAGTGCTGTAAGGGGCCATCAGCTGCATCCATCAAAGTGACCTGAGAATGATCCAGTCTTTTTTGTTTCCAGCTATTCAATGCTCTGTGGGTGGAAGCCACTGAGCAACAGTACATTGATGGCAGTGGCTTGTGCATGGGATTGGGGTTGCATTTGGAGCTGTTTGAAGCAGGAATGCTTGCCTTTGGCTTTGGTTCTGTTTTTCCCATTGTCCAGTGACAGGCCTCCCAGAGGTGTTTGCTTCTTTTGCAGTTCTGTGCTCTTTTGCTGGAGTGCTTTCCAAACAGTTAAACTCTGATGAATTCTCTGTTTCACACAAATCCATTATATCTGTCTCTTTGTAAGGCTGATGATCTGTCCTTGTCCATGGCAGGGGGATTGCACCAGATAGCATTTAAAGGTCCCTTCCAGCCCAAGCCTGAGAGAGTTCAAGAAGCATTTGGACAACACTCTTGGACACAGGGTGTGACTCTTGGGGATGGTGCTGTACAGGACCAGGGATTGGATCCAATTATTTTTGTAGGTTCATTCCAGTTTTACGTATTTTGTGATTCTGTGGAACATATGGTTCTACGATCTTCTATGGTCAAATGTATTTATAAGCCTGTCCATGCCTGCAGTGTGTAAAATGAAAAATCTCAGTCCACTCCTCTTCTGGTTTGAAAGCAAAACCAGTAAGAGACTCCAATTCAGAAATACAATTTATTAAGAAAAGGAAAAAAACCCAAAATAAATGCAACAATACAAAAGAAAAACCACTGACAGAGCCAGAATACAACGTGACACCCTGCTAGTTAGGGTGGTGGTAGCAGTCCGGATGAAATGGTCTTACTGAAGTGATGATGGTGTAGACAAGGTCTGGTAGCTCTTGTCCTCTGGAAACCAGTGGGTAGGGGCAGCTTGTTCTGTCCCAAACCCCAGATTATATCCAGGTGGGGATGCTTAGCTCCTTGCCCCAGGCGGAGCATCTCGCAATGGGCTGATATCATTCTGTGAGTCATGGGATCGGTGGGTCCACTAAATGGAAATGGCTCCCAGAATGAGTTATATCTGAGCCATGGTCTCAGAGCTCTTTCAGCAGCTCTTGAGGATGGGAGTAGAATACATCTTTATTTTCTAACCTAGGACAACTCCTTAAGCTGTTGGCATTGACTCAGCAAGGATACACATGTAAAAGCTCTTTGATGCTCTGGGAGAAGAGGAGTAGAAAGTGTTTGGATGGAAATGACAACTGTTCCCACTTCTGGTTGTTACTGAGTGGCATGTATTGGCTTTGATCAGGACATGGCACCCAAAATTTACGCCCAGTTGAAAGCCCTGGTGCTGTGTCTATGGGGTATGTGAAGATAAGTCAGTCTTCAGTAGTTTTTTTTCTCCATGATGCCAGACATCCTGCTCAGCTTGAACATCTGGACTTCACTGAGTGTCCTGGATATCATTTAGGCAGCAGCTAAAATCACAATGGGGAAAACCCATTAAATGCCTTGGACCTTCCTTTCAAGTCCTCAGAGATGGCTTAATTTATTGGACAGCTTGTGTCCTTCTCCATGTTAGGTGATGACCTGGTGCCAACTTTTGCATGTGTTGACCACTGTGTCCCATATGAGATCTAACTGTAATTATTTTTACCTACAGAGCCATGAAACTGTACATCATCTTTTTCCTGGCAGTGGTGAATAAAGAAACCTCTAACTACCAACTACCTGACAGGACACCCTGTGAAATGGTAAGGCTGTCTCTCTACTTAGGTCCCTTGAGATCCTGAGTGAGGTTGGGACTCCCTTGTTACAGGCACTGCACAAACAGCTACAGTCTCTGAGAAGGGAAACCCCCAGGACCAGGCTTCCTGAGATGGCAGAGGTGGGATTTGCAGGTTTAGGGGATGCTTGGCAGTTTGTCCTCAGGCTGTGTCCTCGTTGTAGTGACAGCATACAAAGGGGAGGGGGGGCAAAGAAGGGTCACTGTCTCAGCTTTTTTCCTAAGGAGGAGCTGGTTTAAAGAAATTTGTCTTGATTTCCCTAAGACTGTACAGGGTTTCTGTGGCTAAGACAGAGAAAGAACTTGGACTTAAAATCAACTTCTTTATATCAGTTGTTCTTTGTACTTTCATTAAAACATCTTCTGTGAAATACTTCTATTCCAGCTCTTTTGTAATAACAAGTAGACTGACCTCCTCTGCCCTGACATAGCATTTCTGCCAGGGAAGTTGTACCTGACTTCTGCTGGAGTGAAGAGAAATGATGAAGACTCTTGCTCCAGTACAAAATCTGCTCCTTGAATTTTTGCAAGCAGCTGGTACAATATTATAAATGTTATTTGCAACTGAGCTTTCTCCCTTCCCTCTCCAAGTGCTTCTGACTGTACCAGGATGTTTAAAAATACTTGTTTTTTCCCCCCCTTGAACATTGAAGCTGTTCAGCACAAATCCTCAAGAATTTCCAAAATAGGGAAAAAATAATTTGCTAGCTGTACACATCTCCCTTGTGGGACTCATTCCATTCCTGCCCACCCTGCCATATTGCTGCACTTCCTGAATTCCAGAGAAATTAAGACCTAGAGTATATATAAAAAGATCTTGGGAAGGTGACTGGGTGGCTGAGCTCCTTGGCTGGAGAGGGAACACTGATGCAGCCACTGTAAACAGGACAGCCTGGGCCCCATGTCATAGTCACATGAAGGCTGGATGAGCCACGCAATAATCCAAGCAATTTCATCCCATTTCTTGATGGCTCACAGACCAGGCTGATTGCTGAGAAGTGAACACATGCTTTCATCAAGCCAACAACACAACTATGCTGGGATAAAATGAGCCCTGACAGAAAACACACTGCTGTCAGGGGCCAGGATGCTCATATGATGTAAATCACCAGCTCAGCGTTGCTAATGTCCATGCTGATTGCCTTCCTTCACTGGCATTTGGTGTGGCTCTAAACACACTCAAAGAAAGAAGGAGCTGCTGGATTGGCTGGTCAGCTGTCATTGACAGTCCTGCATTGCATCACAGCCTCACTGTTTTATATGGTACTTTCCCTGTGGTGACACCTTTAGAATAGCAAAGGCTCAGAAATGGAAACTTTAATCTCAAATATCACGGAAGAGGCATGAGTCAGAAACCTGTGCTACTTTCTGAGTCACCACTGGTGGTTCTGTTGCTGAACTAAACTCTCTTGCTAGAGGTTTTAGGAAGTAAACAGTCCCTACCAGACCCCTGACATGGGGGTGAACTGCACTGATTATTCCAGTTACACCACATCTATCAGTTTGTGAGACAATAAGGAACAGATCAAATGTCAGGACATTCTTCCTAACTCACATTATTTTCCAAGGATAGGCAAAGCTTCAACTCTATCATATTTTACCTCCCAAAGAAAGATGATCTTGCTAATTCCTGTTAATTGGCAAAGGAGGAAATTTCAAATAATTCATAGAAGGGAAGGGATTTTAGAAAATTTTATTTTACCTTGCTTTGAGGTGATGCAAGGACAGATGTGTGACCAGATGTCATAGATCATCTGATGTGTGGTACCTGGGCAAAATGCTAAGGTTTGATTGTGTAGCTGTGCCTCTACCTGAGCAGCTCTTCTAAGAATGGTCAGGGACACCATACAAGCACAGGTCAGTGCCAAGTGGTTCCAGCCCAGATTCTTGGCTCAAATGTTAATGAATTGAAAAAGGAGAACTCAAGGGCAGTCTTGAGTCCAACTCCTTTTTGTAGGGCTCTTACTGAGGTGGCTGACAACTTCCACCCAGTGCTGAGCAGTGAAGAACTGGAGTCAGAAACCAAATGATGCCCAGCTTTTGAACTGTTGGGTATTTTTTTGGTTTTTTGCCAGCATCTTGATGGGACCAAGTGATCCTCACCCTCCAGTACTTCTTAACAATGGACTTGAAACAAACTGAAGGCAGCACTGGCAGAGGTGATGAAGTCAGGACATGAGATTGACAAAAGTCTCTTTTCCAGTCTCAGGTTACCAGCCCATTGGACTAAGGGGTGAGAGGCAAGGAGGTGAACCAAACAGATGCTGTTTGCTCCATCCCACAGAGAAATGCTTCATCTTTTTTTTCCTGCTACTGATGACAATGAAATTCATGCAGTTTGAGCCTTGGGGGAGAAAATATGGTGCAGAAGAGACAGATAAGAAATTTAGTGAGAATCAAAATAGTCAGTGTAAAGGAAGGAGAGTTTAAAAAGAAAAATGAGAGGTGAAATGTTATAGGAACAAGTGGCAGACAGTGTGAGGTGTAGATTTTATTAGTCCCTTTCATCACTGGGAGGGTTCCATGCATGCAGATTAAAAACAAATAATGCAAGATACATGGTGAACAGTGGCTGACCTCTCCCCCATCAACTTCAATGAAAAGCAGATTTTTGGCATTGGCAGGAGTTGCATCAGGACTTTGGTAAGAATCTAGCTGCCCAGGGGAATGGAGGGTGCTCAGCACTTGCTGGGATCTGGCTGAAAGTGTGAGAAGAAACCTGGCATCTGCCTTAGGATGCAAAGCAGTTTCTGCTTTTTCACTCTGGATTTTTGTATCCTCCTGGCTTCTTCCTCTTCCACAAATGAGTAAGAAGAAGTTTCTTGCCCTGCTATTCGTGTCTAGGAATTAAGGCCAACTCTGGGCATAATTTAACTCAAAATGAGGAATTGCACAGTGACTTTGCAGGAAAGAAATATTTTCAGGGAGAAGTCAGAAAATTTCCTTCTTTTTTTTATTTATAATTTTTTTTAGCTGAGGGAGATTTGAGTGAGTTGGAGGGAAAAGACGAAGAGGTTTGAGTTTTAATAGTCAATTTACTTGGGATCATTGGGAAAAATGTGTCATGGGAGCAGCTTGGGTGCATCTAGAGTTTGAATGAGCACTTGCACTTCTCTGGCACATTCTTGTGTGGTCTCCAGAACTAAGATGATGCAAAAGAGATTCACAAAATGCTGACTAGTGCCACACTTCTGCTAAACAGATCTGCCACTTCATTCACCTCCAAGTTCATATAAAACAGATGGGATTTAATCTCTTTGATTTTTAATATTTGCTTGATTTCTGAAAAGCTTCATGTCATGGAATCTAGATCCTGCTTCTTCATAGAAGTTAAGATTCAACAGACCTTTATTTCTTTCTCTTTCCTTTCTCCTTTCCTTTCTCCTTTCCTTTCTCCTTTCCTTTCTCCTTTCCTTTCTCCCTTCCCTTCCCTTCCCTTCCCTTCCCTTCCCTTCCCTTCCCTTCCCTTCCCTTCCCTTCCCTTCCCTTCCCTTCCCTTCCCTTCCCTTCCCTTCCCTTCCCTTCCCTTCCCTTCCCTTCCCTTCCCTTCCCTTCCCTTCCCTTCCCTTCCCTTCCCTTCCCTTCCCTTCCCTTCCCTTCCCTTCCCTTCCCTTCCCTTCCCTTCCCTTCCCTTCCCTTCCCTTCCCTTCCCTTCTTCCCTTTCCCTTCCCCTTTCTCTTTCCCACTTCCCTTCCCCTTTCCCCAGATCCCCAAATACATTAATAACAAGACTTTTTCTCCAGTAAATTAAATGCTGCTTAAGCCTTTCACATTCCATTTCCTCCTGCTGCTGTATGTTCTTCCTAACAGCAAAATAGAACTTGATGGTTATGTAAGGATGGTTGTGTTCATGTTTCCAATGTTCCTCATGAACACACACATAAATTTTGCTCTTCTGCTGAGAATTGGCCTGAAAAGGCCTGACTGCACATCCCATCTTTTCCCCTCTCAAACACTGAATTTACATAATTTGTGTTTTCAGTATTGTATCACAGTGTCTTGTGTGGGTGGCTTCATAAGGTGTGCTCCCCATGCAAATGGAAGGGAACTGTTGCCTTAGGAAAAGGATAGACATGGAAGATAAAAGTGGAATGAGTTTGGAGATTGGTGTCAGAAATGTCTCAGTTGTTGAATGACCCTATTTGATTAAAGCTGCCTTCCTTAACTGAGCCATGGCTAAGGGAAGGCATATTTGAATGTGTGACTGTGAAGGAGACACAGGGTTTGTGCTATAGGATCCTTATAGGGTTTTATACCTCCTTTCTCTGGAACCCATGTTGCCAACAGAGTGAAGCTCTTCCAAGTACTGCTTACTACTGCAAGTAGAGTCTGCAAAATCTAACACAGTGATGAAAGTGAGAAAATTAAACATCAGCACGAAAATGAGGAAAAGGTGCTTGTTTGCAGAGAAACTCGGGACTGTTCAAATGAGTCCAGGAGAAAGGTACAAAGAGGAGATCTTTTAGTAGGTATCACATGCAGATTAAACTCTACTATTCAAAGTCAGAAATCTCTTTAAAATGAAATGTTAGCTGCAAAGGAGCTGATTGGGACTGTTGCTCTTGCTGTCTGAATGCTCAGAAAAAGTGATCAGTGTTTCAGAAGCAGCATCTGCCTTGGATGCTGAATGTTATTTTTCTTATATTTAATGCAAAGAAATTTTTCATTTGTCGTGTGACATGTCCTTTTCTCTTTTTCTGGCAGGCAAACTCTCAGGCATTTTGCCACAACAAAGACCTCCACCAAATCCCTCATGACCTCTATCCAAATGTAAACAAAATAGATCTGTCCGGAAATCGGATTCAAAGCATTCCTGAAATGTCACCATCATTTTACACTTCCCTTCGGTGCCTGGATTTAAGCTCTAACCAGATAAGTTTCATCATGCCTGGAGTCTTTGCACACATGAAGAGTTTGCTGGAAATAAATTTAGCCAACAATCACTTATATGAGCTTGCTCAAAATGGCACAGAGGGGATTGGACTCTTACCCAAGGTGGAAGTACTGGACTTGTCCCACAACAGTCTGTACAATGGGATGGCTGAGTATTTCATTAAAGAAGCTCCAGCACTGCGGTATCTCTCCTTGGCAGACAACAGTATTATAATGATATCACAAAAGATGTTTCAGGGATCTCCCAATCTTGTGGAGATAGATCTTCAGAGCAACATCATCATGGAAATAGAAGAAGGTGCTTTTGAGACTTTAGTGAGCCTGTCCAAACTCAATCTCTCAAGGAATTCAATTACTTGCATCTCTGATTTTAACCTCAGGCAGCTGGAGATACTTGACCTTAGCAGGAACAGCATTGAGACCTTCCACACCACAAAATCAGATGATGAATATAGCTTAAGGTGTTTGGATCTGAGTGAAAACAAACTGTTTCATTTCCCAGTGTTCCCTCAGGTAAATAAGCTGGTAACTCTGAATTTATCAAAGAATTTAATCCAGCTCACTGCTGAATCCCCTCATAATAAAATGGACTATGTGAAAAATGAATGGCTAAATGCTTCTGTCCATCTTCTTGACCAGAAGCAAAGTAGAAACAAAAGTTCTCTTAATTTATCACAGCTTGTATATTTAGACTTAAGTTATAATGAAATCAAATCCATTCCAGATGGGTTCTTTGAGTCAATGTTGTCCCTTCACACCCTTAATCTCAGTAAAAACTGTCTTCAGGCATTTGCAGTAACTTATGACAGTGCACTGATCTCTTTAACTGTCCTTGACTTGAGCTACAATGCTTTGCAGAACCTTCTCCTTGATGCTGGTACCTTGTCAAATTTGAAGGAGCTCTACATTCAAAACAACTACCTTCAAACACTGCAGTTTGACATCTTCTCAAATCTTCCTAGCCTTAGACTGCTTAATCTACAAAGCAATAATATCAGCCTTTGCAGCATGTACTCAGGATTGGCTAAGCAAAGACTTGCTGGAGAGGAAAGTGGTTGTGTGTCATTTGTCAATTCTCCCACTCTTCAGTACTTGTACCTAGCTGACAACATGCTGAACGTCCTGCCAGCATACAGCTTCTACAAGACTCCTCTGGTTGTCTTGGACCTCTCCATGAACCCTGGGCTGAAAATAGAACTTAAAGCATTATCAGGTCTGGAAAAGTCTCTGGAATGTTTGTATTTATATGGTAATAGCCTAGTAGATTTAAATATTGACTTGCCTTGTTTTAGTCACCTTAAACATTTAAACCTCTCTGAAAATCAGCTGAACTGGCTGCCTAAGTGGGGTAGTGACTCTCCACTAGAAGTTCTGGACCTACGGAACAACAGGTTCAGTACATTGCAGAACAGCAATATTTTAGCATTAGAAAATTCACTTAAAAACTTGTATCTCACCGGGAACCCACTCAGCTGCTGTGGAAACATCTGGCTTTCATCCATGATCCAGAACAAAAATGTCCAGATCCCCAACGTGGAGCATTTAACGTGCCAGCACACTCAGAATTTTGGGTACCAGGATGAAATGCACATTAAGAACATTAGACCAGAAGACTGTGAAAAAGAGGATCTGAAGAAAATCAACTTCCTTACTATATTAACATTTGTGTTGGTTTTATCTGTGATCATCGTTGGTGTAGGTTCATTTTTTTGCTTCCGCAGGCAAAACTTTACCCATCAGTTTAAAGCATAGTATCACAAAATGTCTTGAAAACTGAAGAAATCAGGTGCTACACTGACAGTGTGTAGAAATAAAGGGTAAAATTCTCATCTTTGAGTTTCAGCTGTGGATTTTAAATGCTTTTGAAGTGCCCCTGAATTATACCACTGGTATGGGTTGCTGGGTTTTGAAGGAGAATTTGCTATGTTTTGCAGATCCATGGTTTAACTCAAAGAGGAGAAAATTGGCCCTTGTGTGCAATATATATTTAACTGAGTTTAATGTGAAGAAAGTCATCTCTGGGATGAAGTGTTTTAAAAAAAATCCTGGAGCATGAATTTCAACCAGCTAACATTGAACTGAAATGTTTATATTTCTAAGAAAAACTGTTGTAAAATCACTGCATATGAATGCATTTCAATGCAGAAAAATAGTATATCTTCTTTTAAAGGCTATGGCAGGTTAGATGGCAAAAAAGTGTTTTGAAGATACCAGTGTGAAATAATGCGTAGGGAACACAGTCCTGGGCCATTATTCAAATCTGTCTTTCTGCTGACTTTCCCCAGAAATATATTATTGTCTAGAGGATGTGCTGCAAGAAAAGCTCTGTAGGTCCTCATTCTGTGATGTGTTTAACATGGCCAGCTTGGTGCATTGCTAAAAGTTGACACTGACAAATATTATGTCCCAAACTCTCACAGAAAATTCACCCTTTTGGAGGGAACATGACAGTGAGTGGGAGCCTGACCTGCTAACAGGGTTCAGTGGCTTTGAAAAGGAACTACATCAGGTCTTCTGTTAATGCCAGGAACTGTCCATTCAGGCACATAGAAGTAGTGGTCAAACTGAAACCTGTCTAGGTAAATAACTCAGAGTCCAATTGCTGCTCCATTTCTGTTTCTTACAGCTAGTGAATGTCAAAACTAGCACACTACAAAATGGTGTATAATTATATTTTTTAAGCAATTGTGTATGAAACTGGCTGGTGGTTTTCATTGTGGAATTTTGTACAATAAAAACAACTTTGAATTTTGTAAAAAGCACAAGGCAGTGGATATATTAAAGCACTAGCTTGGAATACTCCACAGATGAAAAGAAATGTCTTCCTATTTTTCTTTGGTATTTGGACTCCACCTTAGACCTCTACCTTCTGATGCTGAAGCAGAGACAGCTGCTTCATATTATAGAGCACAACCAGTGGAGAATAAGGAGATGTACTGGAGATGTAGGCAAGAATTTGGGACAGGTTGCCCAGATGTCTGCCCCATCCCTGGACGTATTCAAGGCCGCATTGGATGGGGTTTGGAGCAATCTGGCCTAGCAGAAGGTGTCCCTGCTCAGGGCAGGGTATTGGAACAAGATGATGTTTAAGTTCCCTTCCAAACCAAACCATTTTGTGATTTCGGTGATCCTGTGATTTTGAACAAACCATCAGCAGCAATAGGGCCTGATCTAACATTTATGGAAGCCAATGGCTCAAGCACTATCTTGTAGAAGGCTTGCACAAGCAGCAATCCCAGGGATTAGCTGGAAGCTCAAAGGCAAGCCAAGCTCCAAGCTGTGCACTCAGATGCTGATTTGCCACAGATTGAGTTCATGGCTTTTGTGTCAAGCATGGCAAGACTATTTCTCCTACTGTGAGAGCCACTGTTAGCTTGGCTGCTGTGACTAGAATCAGTTAATAACCTGGTGACAGAGCCAAACTCATTTAATTAACAGTTTTAACTCTGCTATTGTTTTGCTCTACAAAAAGGAAGTTCTTGTTATTACTATGGGACTAATTAGACTTCCATTGACTTCCTAGGGAGCAGAAATAATTTTTGGAGGAATAAGTCTCAGAAGTAAAGTGCAGCATGGCTCATTTGGATTTTTCTGTTAGCAGCATAAGTAAACAAGTAGTGATATGAGCATGCTTCAGCCAATTCTTTTAATCTGGGTGAGAGGAGAAGCATGAGGGGAAGAAAATATGAATACATTTACAAAGAGAGGGAAAACAGGAAAAATGGGAGCTCTACACTACATTGTTCAAAATTATTCAAAATAGGAATACGTAGATGACAGCCCCACCATTTGCTTCTCCTGTGTGTTACTGTGTCTGCAAGAAGACCAAATGACAGAGTACCCCATCCTACATCAAAGGTAGCCATCACTAAGACATTACACATCTTTCCACCAATCAGCCCCATTGTCCTAGTAGTTTGGTGTCATGGTTTAACAAAGCAGAATATGAGCCCCATCCCAGTGGAATCAGGACAGTAGACATGAGACAGCCTGTAATTTTGCAACCAAAATTGACACCCTCATTCATTAAGGGTTTTTCATAAAGTCCTTGCAAAAACCTCTGCTGATGCAAAGAGCTCCTTCTGCTAAGCCAAGGGATATCCTTCTGGGATTCTGGCATCTGTAATAGAGCATTTGGGATTAATGCAGTCAGTGCAAACTCTGTTTTCTTTAAGTTGCCACATGCAAAAAATGGCTTCCTTTCTGCAGCTGTTTGCATGGGACAGGACAATAGAAACACAGAATCCTAAACTGGTTTGGGCGGGAAAGGACCTTAAAGACCATCTCATTTCAACCCCCCTACCATTAGCAGTGATGTCACTTACGAAACCAGGTTGCTCAGGGCCCCATCCAACTTGGCTTTGAACACTGCCAGGGTAGGACAGCCACAGCTTCTCTGGGCAGCCTGTGCCAGGGCTTCACCACCCTCACAACCAAGAATTTCTTCCTGACACTTAATCTAGACCTCCCCTCTTTCAGTTTAAAACCATTGCTCCTTGCCCTGTTACTGTCTGCCCATATAAGAAGTCAACCTCTCTCCTTTTAAAAACTCCTTTAGGTACAGGAAGGCAGCAATGAGGTCTCTTTGCAGTCTTCTCTTCTCCATGCTGAACAACAATAGATCTCCCTAAAGCATTTCTTACCAGAGTTTGCTGTGTTTTCTTCCTGAAACAATCCTCTGTAGTAGGATCAATTAAGTACTGGGAGCACTAGAAACACTCCCAGAGAGGGTCCCTTTGAGCTCAGCAAGTCATGATTCTCGTTGGTCATCCACGGAAAATCAAGTCTCAGTTTCCAGAAACTTGGTTTTTTTCTGCAAAGCCAAGACAAAATAACACCCTCACAAGGTACCAGTCTCTGGACACAGATTTCTGCTGGGACCCTGGTCAGGCCTAAACTAGCCACAATGGGTTAGTATACAAAAGAATAATTACCTCCTAATATTTTGGAAACTCAAAGCATTTCCTCGCTCTATGTATTCCCAATGTAATTCAGTACTCTTTTATTTCCCTGTGGAGAAACAAACTGAACTGAAAGTATCAGTAACCAGGGAAATGGGTTGAAACTGAAATGGGAGGAAGAAGAAACTGAAAATGCATGGAAGAGCTTTCTGAGGAGGACCTATCAGGCTATACTACATTCTTTTACAAGCAAAGACGTTTGGAGGCTAATGCAACATGATATTAAGCAAAAATCTGGGTCAATATAAGGGAACAATCCTGCAACACTGAGTCTCTTTTCTCTCAAGCTATTGACCATGGCTGTTCTGCTGTGTTGCAGAGCCAAGTTAGTTCCACAGATTCCCTCCTCCGGTCCATTTCTAGCAGTTGTCATGTCACATATCTGGGAGACAATGTGAGACTTGATTGCAGCCTTTCCATTCCTAAAGGAGGCTTGTAAGAAAGAGGAAGAGTGGCTTTTTAAGCAGGGAGATAAGACAAGAAAAGGGGGAACAGCTTTAAAATAAGAGCAGAGATTTAGATGAGGAAGAAGTTCTTTACTGTGAAGGTGGTAAAACACTGGCACAGGTTACAAAGAAGCTGTGGATGCCTCATCCATGTAAGTGTTCAAGGCCAGGTTGGATGGAGCTTGGAGCAACCTGGTCTAGTGGAAGGTGTCCTTGCCCATGGCAGGGGACTGGAACTGGGTGTTCTTTAAGGTCCCATCCAACCCAAACCATTTGGTGACTTCATGATTTTCCAATTCACAAGCAGTATACTCTATGAAGAAATATTCTGGAAGGTGACTATGGAAGAGTATTTACTCTTTACTCTTCCTGAGTTTCCCAGAGAAGGAAGTGGAGAAGGGAGTCCCTGATCCTGAAGACCAGTGAAGGAAACAATTCCATTTTCAGGTAGAAAACCCACCAAAGGGAAGAAGGTTTGGAATGGGCAACTAGGCTGGAGGTATGGCACAAGGAGAAGAGAAGGGGAATAAGAATAGTTAGACCAGGAATCTGGAATCCAAGTTACAGAATCACTGAATAGTAACAGAATAGTTAGGGTTGCAAGGCACTTCTGGAGATCATCTAGTCCAACCCCACTGCTACAGCAGGTTCACCCAGAGCATATTGCACAGGATTGTGTCCATTTGGGTTTTAAAGATTTCCAGAGGAGGAGACTCCACAATCTCTCTGGACAGCCTGATGTAGCACTCTGTCACCCTCTGAAGGGAAGGAATGGTCTGGATGAAATTAGAACCAGGAGCAGGAACTAAGCTTGTTCAGCCTGGAGAAGAGACAGTCTTGATGAGAAGTCTTTGCCATTAGTGGATGGACAGTTACAAGGAAAAACATCAGCTCCTCCCAGGAGTATTCACTGAAGGGACAAGATACAACTCCTGAGAGCTGCAGCTGGGGAACTTCACATTAAACATAAGGGAAAAATTCTTCATAATGAGAAAGGTCAAACTCTGGAAAGGCCTTGGAGACTTTCAAAACTCATCAGGGCAAGACCCTGAGCAACTACTTCTGACACTGAAGTTGGCCCAGCTTCAATCAGGGAGCTGGGTTGGAGTTCTCCAGAGGCTCCTTCTGTTTCAAATTATTCTCCTAATCTCTGGAAAACAAGAATGGGTCATGCACTTAGGTAAAGAATAGAGTACCAGAGAAACAGAGCCTCTAACTAACATCTGTTCCCTGAACTGAAGGAGTGGAAGGGATTTGGCAGAAGTGTCCAGAAAGATGGCAAAAATGGCTGATGATGTCAGATGTTGACAGAGCTAGTCAGCTCATGGAAGTCTGAGGTCAAATA